TCTTCTTCTTCTTCTTCTTCTTCTTCTTCTTCTTCTTCTTCTTCTTCTTCTTCTTCTTCTTCTTCTTCTTCTTCTTCTTCTTCGTCTTCTTCTTCTTTTTCTTCTTCTTCTTCTTCTTCTTCTTCTTCTTCTTCTTCTTCTTCTTCTTCTTCTTCTTCTTCTTCTTCTTCTACTTCTTCTTATTCTTTTCGTCCTTTCCATCCCCCTTCTTGTTTCTTCATCTGCTTCTTCAACATTTTCTTCATCAATTTCCACGTCTGTTCATGTGTAGCGTTGGTAGTTGTTCTGGCTGCATTCTTACTAGATGACCAAAACCCTTTGAACTTCTGTTTCGCAATGAATTTGCTGCATGGTGTTGTTCACACAGTCTAAATAATATTATCTCTAACTTTGTCTCAGATAGTTAAGTTGGCGGCTTTTCTTAGGCATCTCACTTCACAGATGCTATTTTTAGGTAGGTAAGGTTTTGATAATTTCCAAGTCTGGCACTGGTAGCACAGTGTTGGTATGAATTTGCGAATAATTTAATGCTAAATGAAATTTAACAAAACCTCAAGTAAAGGCAACACCACAAAGATGAAAATATTATTTTTCCAAGACCTGGAAATTGCAGAAAATGTAAGTTGAATGTTGTTGAATGTTGAATTAAGAATCGACATCACAGCACTCGGTAAACTCTCAAAAGCGCTCAGCCCCCATCTTCAGCAGCAAGCGAAGAGTTCTAATTCCGATGGTACCAGTAACCGTCTGACTGAATATCCGTCTCATCCTTCCCCTGAGTGTTGAGCGTCGGCCAGATCCCATGGTAACTCCTCGCAGCGTCATTCTCCTTAGACCTATAATCTATCTGCGCCTCCGCACTGTTCACTCGCTCCCAAAGGGCCCTTACAATATCTAATTTGTCAACATCAGTTCACCACCAAGTGGTGCAGAGCCAAAAATGTAAGTAGTATAATAGATTAATTAGAGTTAATATGGCGCAGGGTCTTTAAATAGCTTTATATATAAATAAAAGTTGACCCTGGAATGGTTTTGTATGGTAGGCACGTGGGGGTTCCGGTACCCTGTTATAGGGAAAACCAGAATAGACCCACTGCCTACCCAAAGCATGTCGTAAGAGTCGACTAATTGGGAGCTTCCTTCAAAGTCGTAGTGCATCTGTCTGAGAGGCAAGGAACCAACAGTCTGCACACAAATGAGTCAGATCTATAAAACACGCACACGCAGCACTCAGGTTCTGGAACAGGACTGCAGTCCAGAAGTGGATGAACAACCAGAACTTTCCGCCAGTTTACAGCTGGTGAACGCGAAGAAGAAGAGAAGATATAATAATCGCGTGAGGAGCCGTTGGGTTCCCAGCTGGTAGGGAGTGGACATGCTATAATAGTGTTCTGGTGGTCAGTAGTGGTCAAAGTTTATGGTGCTATACATTTTATATAGTAAACAAATCCGAGGGATGTTTGGATTAGATTGTAGACATAAGTAATATACTCGGCTTGTTAGATGTGGCTTCTGAATCGTCAGTGGTGATAGTCAAGGCAAGTGGAATATGGCTTTTATATAGTTCGAATAAAAATGAAAATTGATAAATAGGTCAAATGGAATCATATGTGAGGGGGTATGACTCGTATATAGTATTATAATGATGCTCCCCAAGATGGCGGCCATCTCCATGTTGGTTGCCTCCCCTAAGATGACGCGCTCCCAAAGATAGCGGGTTCCCAGGCTGGAACCTGAGTTCCAAGATGGCGGGCTGTCCCAGAAGGGCTTGCTTTACAAGACGGACAGACTGACTGACAGAGATGCATGCAGACAGATCGATTGACTGACTGACTGACTGACAGACCTACAGGCAGACAGACAGTATATCGCTTACCTGATCATACCTTTGTCTGTATATATTTGCAAGGTATCATGAAATGCAACTTGAGTGGTAAATAAGACACGGTCTGAGTTCTGCTTGTTACCAGTTAAGATTTCATTAGCTGCCCTTTGGTTGTCAGGTACATCTTCCTCAGCAGACGGATTCACCGCGAGGCTACTTTCTCTGCTGATACATTTTCCAGTTGCTATGGGATCTGGGGCTGAAACGTAGAATATATATGAGTTGATTTGATTCAAGAATCGACATCACAGCGCTCAGGGCACTACTATAAAGGCTCCGTTCACATCTTCAGCAGCTACTGCAGAGTTACAATACCAATGATGCCAGTAGCATTCTTATTATTTGTCCATCTTGCCTTTCTACTGAGCGTCGAGTATTGGCGAGATCCCTTCGTCACTCGCCGCTGCATCACTCTCACCAGACTGTTGTGATCCATTTGCTCCTCCTAATCGTACACGTTCTTCCACAAGGCCCTAACCACCTAGCATGTATATGAGTTTGGAGGATTATAGACAAGATCAGCATCCCGCAATTAGCAATACAGTTTCACTGGGGTCGAAATATTTGGTAGGAGAATGCTACCAAGACGAATGTAGACAGAGACACTGTGTTGTTCAATGCACTATTGTCTTCGTTGCAAATCGGACACTTCCATAATTGCTCCCAATCTTCCACCCAGCATGTTTCTTACTGTACTGATTTTGTTGACTACGACTCCGGTTTATTTGAAATCGCAGGTGAGTGTTCAGTCTCTTTAAAACATAGGGGGTTAACAGGCACCTTTTGTTCTGTATCCAGGTATCAGGAACCATAGAAGAGAATATGTATCTTCTGATCCGTACTCAGGTTTAAGGAGTCATATAAGAGATTAGGCATCTTCTGTTCTGTAAAAAGGCTTCATGAACCACATAAAATAACTGACATATAATGCTCTTTACCCAGGCTTCAGAAGCCCAAAACGACAGCGAGTCAATATTGTTAATAATTAACTAACATTTGTCCTTATTTCTGGACGATGAGTAATGTGCTATATAGAAAGACTTGGGCATCACAACACATGGCGGTGGCGTGCATGACTACCAGTTAAAAGTAGAGGTGAAATTCCTCTATAGTACAATTTCTAGGCAATACTGTAGAGACCATATGTTGTCCTTGCAGTGTGATCTTCTTTACAGGATAATACTAATATGTTTGGAACAATGCTTGCAGAAATTTCCGTTTCTAACAGGCTCTGCTTTCTGTCCGATCATTTTTTGTTCGGTACCCTGTCATCCTTATGGAATATTAGGCCTTACAACGGCGCCAATATTACCGACATCCAATGTTTTGTAGCGAGCAGTTCGGACCCGCTGTCGTAAGACATTATGAACACTCATCGAGTTCAGTGTGCACTTTGCCAAACAGCATAAACTATACTATTGTTTTACAGATCTCGATCATATGTGTTCTGAGTCAACTCTGTGATATTCCTTAATGCCACACGCATTTATCTCATCTTGCTAGTTGTCATAGTACTCATCGATAACTCTCTTCTCATTATTTAACTGACTAACATATATGTCTTTGTCTTAGGGCTTGGGGGTGAATTGGGGGGGGGGGGATTTGACCCTTCCATGCAGGCGCTGTTCGATGCTCTGACAGTTCAAGCTTTTCAAAAAACTAATATCATAAACAACATCTCAGCTGTCTCCATATTTATTCTAATTTGCTCCTTGTCCGTCCAAGATTCACTTTCAGAGAAAACACTGAGCTGAACATCTTTATCAGGACGTCACAAGCCAGCCTTTGCATTTATTGACTGTTTACGCTTTTTTCTCCATCTAGACATTTCCACGTTCAGTAAAAATAAATCAGTTACTGTATATTGAGCTGATTAATCTAGCCAAGGAAATTTGATTTCCTCAGTCGTGAAGGCTTGCTCGACAAGCTCAAAAAGATTGATTGTCCACCGCAGTGCATCGCTGAGGCGATTAGCGCCAGCCTGAGAGGCACAGTCAATTCTGACATTGTTACATCGAAGGAATGGAGATGATGGAGTGAGGCAGGGTGTCTACCTGCCTCTGCACTCTTTAGAATATACTCCTTACTCCATTTGGAATATGCCTTTCGAGATCGGGAGGGAGTGGGGGTTGGAACATACAACTTTTCTCGATCCGGCTGTACATTTCAGTGTTCGTAGACTGAAAGCAAAAACGTGGGTTAGGAAGGTGCTGCGATGCTTTGTGCTGCAATACCACCCATTCAGAGGATGAACAGCAAAGATTACTGATTGAACTCTCTGGTGTTTCTTGTTAATATGGACTAATAATCCACAAAACTAAGACATGGGTTATGGCACAATGTGTTTCTGACAGACTTGCAGTCTTCACTGCTAATGACAAGCTGGAGACCGCTGATCATTTTGTATACCTCCTATCCTCAGTCAATCACACACTAACACTAGACCAAGAAATCGACATCAGAATACTTTGAGCAGCAACAATAATGGTCAGGTTGCTAAACAAGTTTGCAGGAAGTGAAAGCTTTGTGTCTGTCAAACCTTTTTTTTTTTTATTAGATGCACTTAGTTGGCTAACTCATATCAAGAGAAACGGCTAAATAGTTTTACATTCGATGCCTTAAAAGAGTGCTTGGCAGTAAGTGACAGGACAAGATAACAAACACTGCCCTGTTTGAAATAAATAGCTACAACAGTTGTTCTCAATGGTCAGTCTTTGAAGCTTCAGATCGCCAAGATACACTTGGAGGTTGGGGGATGACATATTCCCTAAAACGTCCTTTATAGTGAATTACAGATGTCCCGCAGATGTTTGGGACATCCTCTACTACGATATAAAGAAATGGTCAGGCGGGAGGTGGATTCGTGAGAACAGAGAGCGCCAAACCTTGGCAACGCTTGGCAACGTATTTGAAGACACAGAGAAAGCGGAAAAACCCGCTCTTACACGATCGAAAATATTGGACTGCCCCGTGAAGTCATTTGGGGTGAATAATTGGGAAAGAACCACTGAATGTCATGGACCATGTTGTACAGAGGGTGAAAATCAGGTAGGGGATAAGAATAAAGAAAGAAAAATGATTTCAGATACGTTAAGAGCTCAGCGTTTGAGAAGAAGCATATTAAAACATTCGACAGCAGCAGTGGTCATGAAACCTTTGCTCTAATTGTGGAAGACTTATCTTGACCTGAGCCGGTCTTGCTAGTCACACTCGCCATCGCCATCACCCTAGGCACACTATATAAAGAACTATCGTCTGGAAAGCCTGAAGGGAGTTAACTGATACAAAACTCATCTCACTGTCCTAATCAAAGAATTTTCAAGCAGCTGACTTCGAACACTAATATCCGGATACCGAAAAACTGCGTTCACAGTCACTAAGACAACTCTTTCAGAACATGATGAGTATAACTTCAGCCCTTTTTCTGACTGTAGCCTCCGTGGTGTAGCGACTAGGGAATAGCCTGTATATCTCAAGGTTGTGGGCTCGAATCCTGATGCAGGCTATTTTTTTAATGGCCTAAACTCCCAGGTGAATCCAGCTGTGAGTTCGTACCAGGTAAAGTCCTGGGAAGTAAAGGCGGCTGGTGTAATGCTGACCACATCACTCATCAATTGTTCTATTTAAAAAAGGTCTAGCCCCATCAGCCCAATACCCCTGAAGACGTGGGAAAGGGCCCCTCATCTCATCTTACTCTTTCTGGCACTCGTCTGGTTCTGCTTGCGCCTTGCTTTGTAGAGAAAAGTATCAACACAGGACAGTTTTGGTAAACGTTGATTTCCAGGGACTTATTAACAAAATGACCTGAATACTTGAATACTAACCGTCAGTTGAGCTACAGTTGGGTTCTTCGCAAACGAATGCAATATTGTCATACTGATGACGCAGACAGTCAAAATTCTCTGCTGTTGCGCTGTTGTCTGTTCCGAAAGTCTGTATCAAGCCATTTTCATTCATGATTTCCTGGTTCCTGGAATATAACATTGCCAGTAAAAAGGTTAATCTAAATTCATGTGGGCATACAACGTTCTCTATAAGGATCAGTGTAAAACTGCATAAATATATGTATGCCAAGTGTGGCAATGAGCCCATGAAATGCGCACATAACTCTTATAAAATAGCAACAGCTATCAGGACAAATACAGACATCAGGCAGTCCGGTTCTGTGTAGAGAGAGAGAGAAAGAGAGAGAGAGAGAGAGAGAGAGAGAGAGAGAGAGAGAGAGAGAGAGAGAGAGAGAGATTAATAAATTCATCAAGAGCTATATAAAACTAGGGTTCTTTATTAATATCTTACCGCAGATGACGTCACAGGACAGTCTAACAATTTAAAGGATTTCCATGCTGGGTTTCCCGGCTTTCTGGTGCTTTTACCGACCCCCAAAACATCTAGAACTGAACCTAACCACAACCGACCTACGTCCCACTAAAGTGTGCAGCCTAGGTCCCACTATTGCATGCAGCCTATCTACAACCCCCTGAAATATTAGACTGTCCCGTGACCTGTGGATTTCCCTGCTTTGGGGTAGGCTATCAATAAAGCACCGATTTTTTATTGTGCCCGCGACAACAAAACTCCATCACATCACTGGGAGTCGAACTCGGGTATCCTGCATGAGACCCATCTCCGCGCCTTCAAGCATATTGGGCATTTAGGGCTAGACCTAAATTTTATAGACAATCAGCACTTGGTGGCTGATGTGCATCCCGCCTTTATTTCATAAGACTGTACCTGATACCCAATCAAGGTTAGGTCGACCTGGGAGCCAAGGTCATTTATAAGGGGGGGGGGGGTCCAACTCCGTCAGAACCCAAACTCACAACCTTCCTATCCACAGGCGAGCGTCAAGCCGCTGCATCACCGCGACACTCCCAGCTAGATTGAGGCACCACACAAAGGCAACGAAGGGAGCTGTGTGGTCTCCAGGCATGGCGTCCACCTCGAGTGCTGCATCCAGGGTTTAGGCTCCAGGGAAGGCTGGGATTTTGTGTTTTTTGTGTGAGATCGGGGGCCCCGTTTGCATTGTTGCGCACATAAAAAAAATCGTTGGAAATCGGAAAATGAGCACACTAACGGCGCCGCCCGGCTAAATTTAGAGTTAAAAATCTACTTAAAGTATTTCAGGACCCTCGCCAGTGCACCAACTCCTTCGCACCTTCTTCGTGCTGTGTATGCCCATGCTGACCTTGATCCGTGCTTCATTGATCAACCTGTGTCGATGACGTTATCTTCTGTGTATCGCCCGCAGGAATTTGATCCCTCCAGTACTTTCCGAGTGTGATGACAAACTTAGAGATGCCATGCATGTCTACTGGTGTATTTGTCCATTATTTTCCGTGACTGATCACGTCTAGGTCACATACCTGCTGGATTAAATCCTCAGCCTTTGCCATCCTTTGAGACGCGTTCCTGTTGTGTCGTGTATAGCTTTGTGCAATGGGTGGTTAACGTCTGCCGATTGACAAATCACAAGGCAGATGTGTTCAAGGCCCTTTCGGAACAATCAACGGAGTCAGTAGAGAAAGAAGATTAATATGGCCTGGAGAGAATGAGGCATCTGGGTGTAAGCAGAGGGTCTAGCTGGCTGACTACACTCAGAAGAAAGGCAAGACGGACATTTAACCACATTGTGACCGGTACCATCAGTATTGGAACTCTGCTCTGGCTGCTGAAGATGAGGACGGAGCATGCATGGTAATGCCTCGAGTGCTGTGATGTCAATTCTTGACTCAACTCAACTCAACTCAAAATGTTTGTTCAGCAGCAGTTTGTCTATTCAACCCCCTTTCCTTGCCTCACAACCTCCTCGAATATGCAGTCCCCAGAATCTACACAGAGGGAAAATCTACATTCTAAGGCACGTAGTGTGAACAGGGGAAAACTGCAGGTCGTCGTGACAACACATTGGCTCTCAACCTTAATAATACCGCGACCCTTTAATACAGTTCCCTCGTGTTGTGGCGACCCCCCAAAAATATTTTCCTTTTTAACTTCAAAGTGTCGAGACCGGCACGTCGAGAACCGCTGTGAAAACAGAAGAAGATGGATCGGAAAATAGAAGATAACCGAGAGCATCTTTGACAAGTCTGCACCTGGTTTGGAATCATATGTTAATGAGAAATTAGAGTCAGTTGACAATAAGGAAACATGAGTACTTCAAGAACAACACTACAAGGAAAGGACAATGAAACAATTTGAAACTCTCAAGTCCGGCAAGCAAAGACTGACAAAGAAAAGACTCTTGGCTGCGAGTAGTAGACGTAAGGTCCCTTTTCCACACCTCTGAGCGTTTGGAAATATAGGGCTTGACCGAGTAATTATAAACAGCCCTATCTCATCTCAATCTCATGTCATTTTGTAGAAGTCGAATGCCCTAATATAACCTTACGGTTGAACCGAGTTTCTAGGATTTGCCCCTGGGGAATTCACATTTGAATAATGACACATTATACTTTGTGTCACAGAGTGTTAATCATTCAGTATGCGACCCTAGTCTGGTTCAATTTCATTCTCTCAGTAGTTAAAGCAATGTTTCCCCGCTGTAAATTTTAACAAAGAAGATACAAACAATAGATTGCACAATTTATTGCCTGGCATATTTCGCTGTATCTGGTCAGTGAATCCTTTATAACTGAAGTACAAATTCAACAACGATCAAACATGACTGCCTGTTTTACCACGGCAGCCGTAAAGACAGAACAATATCAGTAGTGTCAGCAGGAAAAAGAACTGTTTCTTATGACGTGAGATTTGAGGGGTCTGGATCTAATGAGAAGAAGAGGAAGACGCGATCGATAGAGGCGTAAGAGATGGAAAGATACGCGTACACAGAGAGGTAGAAGACTAAGATATTCTGGGAGGAAAGACGTACCAAGAGAGAGAGAGACAGAGAGAGAGAGAGAGAAAGAAAGAAAGAGAGAGAGAGAGAGAGAGAGAGAGAGAGAGAGAGAGAGAGAGAGAAAGAGAGAGAGAGTAAAGGCACAGAGAGATGCATAGAAGGAGAGGGGTTGGGGGGGGGGGCAGAAAGACACAGAACAGTGGCAGTCACACAGACTCAAAGACATACGCTCACTCACAAACGAGGAATTATGTGTTTGTTTGTTGGGAAGGCGGGGGCCTGGGGGTCAGGCAGAGGGTGAAAAGAGACGTACAGAGAAGGGGGAGAAAGAGAGAGACAGAGAGATAGACAGAGACAGACAAACAGAGAAACAGCGAGAAGAGTGGGGTCAGGGAAAATTATGGTATGTCATCATACCTTCAGCGATGGTGCAATAGATCATAGGAGACAACGTTCAACTCTGACTCAAGAACACGCAGTTTTAGAGAAATTAGGCAAAGGGCTATTCAACGTGTACACAGTGCTGATAACTCAGCAGCATTGCACGGGAGTGGCAATACCGTGTCATTTGCTGATGACCTCTTGGTATATCGACATGGAAGAGATCGTCAAGAGATTACCAAGTCAATGCACAGGGAACTTAATCGCATCACTTCCTGGTGTGCAGTTTCTAATGCTCATGTCAATCCTTCGAAGGCCTCAGTAACGTGGTTCTCCTTGAACACTCATATAGTGAAGGCAGACTTACGGCAGTGAAAAGCAGCGAGGAAATTTTAAAAAGAACAAATCTGATGACATACCTCCGAGTAAGGTTTGATTGCAGTCTATCCTTCAAAGAACAAGTTGACCATGTCATAACAAAGGCACGCAAAGGCCTGTCAGCAATGAGGGTCCTGGCACTGCTTCTGCTTCTGTTCCAGGGACTTGTACTTTCTCCCATCGAATATGCTCTTTTCATCCTCACTGTCAGCCATACTCAAGCTGAAAGACTTGAGAAGGTGCAAAAGATGCGCATTATTCTAGGGTTAGGGTGCACTGGAGACACCTCTTGTGTAGCAATGAGGTACCTTCTTGTCTTCCCTACCTAGAACTACGGGATAAAGTTCTTGAGGGCTCGTGCATACCTCAGGATAAGTTCAGATCTGAAGCACCCTTTGCACCACATGCTCTTCAAGTAAAAGGGCAATAGGCTTAAAAGGGGCAAATCATGGGTAGGGCAGATGATGACATCATGCAGGTTTGCAGCCTTACATACATCCATCCAGGTGAGGAATGGATACCAGCCTCTAAAGCGCCCAAAATCACATTCTCCTGTGTCGTGACGCTCGAAAGGATTAGTCGGGAGCAGAATCCAGCCCCTGTCAATGCCGAGGTATGCGCGCTTATCAGTGACAAGTCAGACGAGGCAGATGTGGTGATCTTCACAGACGAGTCCGTTATACCAGGACATAAGAGTGCATGGACATTTACAGCTCCCTCTTTAGACAGAAAAGTTAAGGAAGCCAGCAGTGCCTTCTCCATGACCACCAGCAGCACGACGATGGAGGTGATGGCGGTGACACAAGCTTTCGTGTGGTCAGAATCACAGGACTATTCCCGCGTGTGTGTGTGCTGAGTGATTCTTTGAGCATGATCCGGCGGAACGAAGCAGGCTGTTTACGCAGTCAGTGGTTTGACTCATCGCAAAACTCTCCTGTGTGTGCAGTTACCTTCATATTCGTCACATAGTATGCAGGCGTTGTTGGTAATGAAAGAGCTGATAGACTGGCAGGTGCTTCAATAACTGAAGATGGCCGGCCCATGGATCACGCAGACATTGTCATTGCCCTTAGGGAGATATGACGTTCTGAGGATTTTAGAAGCAACGTGTCCACATCACTGCTAAGAATACGCGAATTGGGAGTGAAGATCGGCACAGCCAAACATAAGAATCACACCGGACGCACACGAAGTCTTGTTAACCAACATAGGACTGGCACTATTAACCGCACGACGCTGATGAATATGTTGAGAGGGGAATCTGAACGCCTATTGATGTGTCCGGAGTACTGTGAAGATAATCTAACTCATAACTCACAGGTATGACGAAGCTAAAAAATACAGGTTAAAAGAGCCATTAAACACCACCTGTA